TTTTTTTCGTAAACCACTCGTAATTACAAAAACCGGGGGGGGGGGAGGGGAGATCGTTAAAAAAAAAATTTATTTACTCTATGACTGACTAATTTGTTGCATAAACGTATCGCGATCTAAATAATTCGAAATGGGTCGCAAGTGTTTTTTATCAGGTGATTTTTTTTTTATTAAAATGGGCGAGGCTTTATTGGCAAAGGGGCTCATAATTGTGAATAAATTATTTATTTATTTATTGCCAAGATAAATTTATCAACAAGTAAAATTATCCGCAGAGGAGGGGGGGGGATTATTAATAAATAATAATAATTAAAAAATACTTTTTTTTTTTTTTTTTTGGGAAGGGGGGAGGCGTTCGTGGGCCGTCACCTTACGTCGCGTATACCTTAAAGGCGTTAATTAGAAAATGTTTAACCCGCAGGATGCTTGGCTCGTGTGCGTGTGCGTGTGCGTGTGCGTGTTAACCAGTATTTACGATGGCAGCAAAAAAAAAAAATTTTTTTTCGGTTTTTTATTTTCACAATTTTTTGCGAACAAAAAATTCACGTTCACGTTTTGAATTCGACGAAATTTTTCCTTCTTTCGTTATCACGCTTCTCGTAAATTTATTAATTATTATTATTATTATTATTATTATTATTATTGTTTAACATTTCATTGTCATCGCATTATCGGTTCCCCAAAATCTTTCGGTTTGTTATTATTATTATTATTATTATTATCATTTCTCAATCCACGGTTGTGACACAAAACACCCAAAGGGTTATAATTTTCTCACGGAGATAAATTGTGTTTGAAAAACAATGACGGTAACCTTCTCACGATTGACCAAAAACTAAGTGTTTTAAAATAAAAACCTAAGGATAACGGAAGGGAGGAGGGGAAAAAGAAATATTTCGAAACGGAAATTGATAATAAAAGAGAAAAAAAAAATTTTTAACACGGTATCATTCGATGTATACGTTCGGCGTTGATGACGTAATATAATTCAGGTTCAATTGTTATAATTTTTTTTTTTTTTTTTTTTTTCGTTTGTGATTTCAAATTTAATTCGAATCAAATTAAATAATGATAATGATAATGATGATGATTCGTCATTCGTAATTGCATAATTGTTATTGTTATTTTTTTTTCCTTCAGAATGAAAACGAGAAAAAAATATTTTTTTTTTTTAGATGAACGAATCGAAAATGACGGATCGTGGAAGAAGAAAAAAAGTTTTTCGGATTCGAACGGTTCGTGCGGTACGTCCGATGGTGGGGCGGGGGGCAAATGAAAATTATGTAACATAGTTGCCCGGGACTGGGGCAAGGTGAACGGGGCAAATCGACCCGGCATATGACCTTATACGCACGCACGCACGCACGCACGCACGCACGCACGCACGCACACTCCACCCAGGTTGATCCAAATTCTTATGCATAACTGGAGCAAAAAACAATTGTTTATTTGTTTGTTTGTTTGTCCGGTGAGGTTTTAAACTGTCCAAAGGAAAAGGTAAGGAAATTCGAAAAAAACAAAAAAGAAATATTTTTTCTCTTTTCACTTTCTTTCTCTCTCTCTCTCTCTCTCTCTCTCTCTCTCTCTCTCTCTCTCTCTCTCTCTCTCTCTCTCTCTCTCTCTCTCTCTCTCTCTCTCTCATTCATTCTCATCATTATTTTTTCATTTGTAATTATTTTTCACGAAATAACTAAGGGTGTGCTGCTGAAAGAAATGATTCCTGTCGCTTTAAAGGGGTTTTTCTTTGAGGAAAATCATTTTTTCAAATGATCCATTTCCGGTTGGGTTTTTGCTAGTTTTCCTATTTAAATTTTTTTTTTCGTTTTAAAAAAATGACGTAATCGGATTTACGGGTGAAGGGTAGATTTTTTAAAAAATTTTTCACACCGCGATAACAATCAACAAAAATTTTTGATTTTTATCCCGAGCGACCATTTTTTATTTATTTATTTATTATTATTATTATTATTTTTATTATTAATTTTAACCGATGGGTTCCCATACGTGTAATTTATCGTTACGGTGTCATAATCGCGAACAACAACAACAACAAACAAATCTTTAATTTTTCGCCATTTTGAATGTTTTAAAAAAAAAAAAAAATCGTAAATGTCTTCTTTGATTTTTATTGACGGACGGGGAGGGGATGTGAGCGAGCAAAGAAAAAGTCTTCTTCTTCTTCGCTATACAATCACTTTTTTTATTTTTTTTATTCGTTATTGCCGACAATAATAAAAATTTATCGTGCGGCCATTTCACTTTTGTTAACAGCTCTTATACTATTATTATTATTATTATTATTATTACTACGACTCGCGTCTATCAGATTGAGTAATTTCCCCCTTTTTTTCCGCTTCTGTAACGTTCATCGTCCGAATAAAATAAATTGTTAATCTGTCATACGTAAAAACGATCGTCGTGGGTTTTTTTTTTTTTTTTTTTAATGACTTATTTACTATTAAATAACGAGCGAACGGATCGTTAAAACGCGGTCGTGGTGGAATCAATTTCGAATCCCGAATTAAATAACCGTTTTATTATTTATTTATGAAGGAGACGGGGGGGGGAGGAGGAGGGAATAATAGTCTCGCATAAAGCACCAGGTACGTACCACGGTATACGCACTCCTTTTTGATGATATAAGAAATTTTGTTCTTTCCTTCAGGCATTACGTTCATTAATTGGTCTTGACACGTGACAATGCAAGAAATTTTATTATTATTATTATTATTACATCTAATTTCACGTCACTCGGGTATTTAAAAATTTTAACCGCGATCGTCGTGGATTTTGTATTACTCGTTACGTAACGATTTTGCTATCTTTATTATTATTATTATTAGTGTTTGTGTGTGCGTATGTGCGTATGTGCGCGCGCGTGTGTGTGTGTAGGAATTTTAAAAGATGTGAATTGAGATTTTTTTTTATTAAATATAATTCGTTTCGTTTATGTGTGAATGAAATTAAATCACAATCTTATCCTACTTTGATTTTCTCGGCTCGCAGCTCCCCTCCCCCCCTCTCTCTCTCTCTCTCTCTCTCTGTCTTTTTCATCTGAGTGTCTTGTCTTGTTTTTTTTTTCTCTCTCTTTTTTTTTAATACGCGCGTTACATATTTACATTTACACTCATTCTTATGTTTTACAACACGTAAATTAATAATTATGATAATCAATTCTTTAAAAAAAATAAGATACATGTTATGGTGTGGCGATGATGATGATGATGATGATGATGATGATATTAACAATTACCTTATTAACATAATTAATTATTTTAATAAGGTAATTTTCGTTCTCTCGCGCATATCCGAAAAAAGAAAAAAAAAAGTTGGAAAAGATAAAAGGAAAAACGATTTCCTCTCGATTATCTTTTCCTATTTTTTTTTTTTTTTATCATTATTATCATCCGGTCGTGTTCTTCTCCCCTCCCTCCCCGTCCCTCCTCCCGTAATGACGACGTCCATATAAAAAAAAATCTTTTTATTCAAGTCTAACGACCCGACGCGTTAAAGAAAAAAAAAATTAATTAATTTTAATTTAATACCGTTTTATTATTATTATTATTATTATTTCAGGTTTCGGTTGATTTATTTATTCCGATGGAAATTCTTGTGTCAGAATAAAATTCGCTTCCGGGCAGGAGAAAAATTCAATAAGAAAATATCTGGGAGGGATTTCTGAGAGCCGCGCTCAAAGGCATAAATGAAAATTGTTTTTATTTTGTTACGAGGACGATCACTTGAAAACTTTGGGAATTTAATGACGTCACCGAATGGAAATAACCCGATAAAATAATGATGATAATTTTCGTTAAGGTAAATAAAAAAAATTATTTGAAATTGGTGGATGGGTGGATGAAGTTGCGGGGGGGGGCATTCAAAGAAAGAAAAAAATTGACAATAATATGGATTTGCGAACCAATAATTCGGTATTAAAATGGGTACCAACATAATAAAAATAAAAATAAATTGGCGCGCGAGAGTATTACACAATAATTCTAACCAAATTTTTCTTGCGATAGTTTTTTTTTTTTTTTTTTTCTCTCTTTCTGGCCTTAGGTGAAATTATGACTCAACTTTTATAAAATAAATATATAATGTCAAATTCCTTATTTTTTTTTTTATATTGACTCAAGTGAAAGAAAACAGTGCTGAAATAACGTTTTCAATAAATTTTAGCAATAGTTTATTAATTTTTTTTTTTTTTTTTTTTGCAGGTTTTGATTGTTTGTCTTGATTGGGCAAAGAGGTTAAAAATAATTACGTAATATCCTCCCGAATGAGAGAGAGAGAGAGAGAGAAGAGACGGCTTGAAAAAAAAAAAAAAAGTTGTTGAAGAGTTTTTTTTTTTTTTTCGAAAGTAACTACCGAAAGACTTGACCGAAAAGTAAGACGGCAATAGTTGAAAAAAAAAAAAAAAAAAAAAATTCATTGAATAATTTTTAACGATGTCAGTCAGGTTTGTAATGGGAGAATTAAAAATAAATTTTTTTTTTTTTACAAAAAAAAAAAACGCGGTCGGAGGAGGAGGAAGAGGATGTATCATTTGTTTCAGTGGCGGAGCGATGAAAATTTCCAACCGACTATGAGGGATTTGTTGGGGGAAAAAAACGGAAGTGACGTAAAGGTTAGTAAAAACGAAAACATTTAAATTATTCTTTCTCTATGGAATTTTTCATAGAGAAATGAAAATGGAGGGAAATCATTAAAAAAAAAAAAACGCTTTAAACTTTAAAAAGTAGAAATGATGATAATAATAATAATTGTTATTGTTTAATGAAACAAAATAACAAAAAGGAATTCGCGTAAAATTCATAGAAACTAAGTTTACATATCTCTAATAAGCATTTCACGTATTTGTAAAATGCCGTTTAATACATTGCACGTGATTTGCGATTATTATTATTATCTTACATAATTAACAACAAGAACGACAACAACAACAACAATAATAATAATAATAATAATAATAATGATAAAATAAATGGCAAAAAAAAATTTCACTTTAAAATTTGAGTTTTATGCACGACGGCATTAAATCCATGTACGGGATCAGCGTAATAATTAACAGTTCTTTTAGTGCCATCTGGTTCTGCCAAACTGTAACTTCCTTTGACAATGTCCCCCTCTCTCACTTCCTTCACGGCTTTATTATCGCCCGTCGAGAAATCTTGTACCATGTATCCGAAAACGTATTGAGGGTAATCTAATTTATGAGCAGGTGCTGCTGCGACGGCCAAATGTGAAACCGGTTGGGAAAATCCAAAATGAGCTTTCGAAACGAGGCTGGATAAGGGTGATGATGGTAAAGTTGCCGCCTGATACGGAAGCGGAACTCCTACCGCTAAGGGAGCCGGAGCTGCAGCGGCTAACGGTGCCGGAGCGACTGCGAACGCTGAAGTCAACGGTGCTGCTGCTGCGTGTAATGGTGCGGCCGCGGTCAATGGTTGCGCCACGGCTAACGGCGATGCAGCTGCTGCCAATTGCCCGCTTCCAGCTAACGATGCATCTGTCAATGGTGCTGCCGATAGTGCAGCCACCGAACCCACTTTTCCATCGAGTCCAGAATACAAACCGTCAGCGGAGGAATGGGATGAAGATGCGACAAGTTGTCCGACGGGTTCTGCGGCACGGACGACGAGGAAAACACTCGCCAGCGTAAAAAGTAACTGTAAGAATTCATTTTTGTTTGTTTGTTTGTTTTCTTTGACAACAAACGCAAATCCAAAAAAAATTAATCAATCGGTAAAAACTCACCTTTTCCATTTGTTTTGTCCGATCGAACATGGCGAATGAATGAAATCGTTGGTAGAATTTTGTTCTTATATGTTTTCCCATAGAATTGATGACCTCCTTAAAAACGTATTTTAAATGCAAAGCACAAATCAATCCAATTTTTTTTTATTTTTTTAATTTGCGTAATTTCGGGTACAAAATCAAAATTTTAAGCGACACATGCACGCGATGAATGAACGAATGAAGGAAGAAGAAAGTGTGTGTGCGTGCGTGCGTGCGTGTCGAAGTGTGATTTGGCTTATTAATTATAATAACTAATAATAGAAAATATACAGGCGCGTAAATTTACAGGAAGAAATTTGAAAAAAAAAAAAAAAAAAATGAGAGTCGTTAAAAAATAATTTTTGCCAAGTTTCTTTTAAAAATGGATTAAATATGTTAATGATATAATAATAATTAATTATATAAATAATTTATTGATAACGATAACAGGAAAATCCCCTTCGCGTTAGATAATAATAATGATTTGTTATAAAAAAAAAAAAAAAAAAAAAAAAAAAACGTCACGTCTCCCCCCGTTTTTTAACGTTTATGCAACTTGTCGTACACCGCGATAACGTCCTTATTTATTATTAATATTATTATTATTTACTCGTTAATCAACGGGGTAGCGTAATACGCCGCGTGCGTAAGTCGTTTGTTTTCCGTCGTCGATTTGTCTACGTGGCACAAAACACGCATTTTCTAATTTTTTTTTTTGTATTACCTGGAATGACTGGAACTTTTTTTTTTTTTTTTTAAATAAAAGATTATTAATTAATCTTTTTTTTTAAACTGATATCAGTTTAAAATCATTATTATTATTATTATTTATTTATTTTTTTCGTCGAGTTAAAAACGCGTGACCTTGACCTTGTAAAATTGTTTTGATGATATCTCCTCATGCTCTTTTTTTTTGTAGTTTCGAAACGATAATTAGTCTCATGCCCTATTATTATTATTATTATTTTCAATTTTAACACGAAGAGTTTTCCAGCTTTCCAGGTATTTAAAAGAAATAAGTGCTCGAATATCATTGGGAAAATTGTGCAATTCAATTTATTGCACCTTCCAGGGATCGCAGCACGGCTTCCGGTCCTCCTTCAATAACGACCGGAATCATTTCCGTTTTTAATTTCGGTTTTAAAATTCCCGCGTTTCAATTTCGTTTCCGTTTCCGTTCGTCTCGGAATGAGCACATGACAATCGTTTCTCGGAATTACGCCTTGTAGGACGGACGTTTAGTTTGCTCGCGTTTTTGGAATGTGATTGTGCGTACCATTCTTTAGCCAATCACGACAGATATTTACGCATTTTATTGCGTAAATATTTACCCAATATGCCAGCAAATATTGACACATACGGAAATTATTTATCGCATAATTTCCGATTTAAATTGGCACTCGTTTTTATATTTTTTTTTTTTTTTCAAACAAATTTTGGAGAATAATTCTCGTAAAAGTTCTTAGAACCCTTTTATTATCATTATTATTATTAGTTGCCATTGAAAATTCCATATCGTGAATATTCAACGAAACAAAATATAAAAAAAAATTTTTCGTTCATTCATCATTCCAGGTTAAATGAATGTCAATTTCCCCTCTCCCCTTCTCCCCCCACCCCTGCTTTACTCTCTTATCTAATGAAAAATATATATTCGCTGGATAATTCCATAAAAAATTGTTTTTTTTTGTTGCCACACACAAAAGACTTCCAAAAAAAAAAAAAAAAAAATGTTCGATCGGACAAAAGGATAAAAAATATCCAAAAAGGCTGGGAATTGTAATTTAATAGAAATAATAATGATAATTTTTTTTTTTTTTAAATTATAATTTATTAAAGTAAATAATAATAATAATAATAATAATATTAATATATTTATATATTTGACTTATGGGAAAGTTAAACATACGAGACAAAGGCGATGTATAATAATGATAATAATAACATATTGGAAACGTTTCAAACCTTAAAAAGAGGTAAAATTTAACCTTGAAAAAAAAAAAAAAAAATTTTTTTTTGTCGATAAACTCACGGTTAAACTATCGAGACAAAAGAAAAAGAAAAAATCATTGTTTGTTTGTTTGTTTATTTATTCTATGAAATTTAAATCCGTCGGTTTTTGTTGTTGTTGTGATTTACCCTCTTTTTTTCTCTCTATGCTAAATTTTTTTTGTGACGTCATTTTTTCTTTATTTTAGCGTGGAATGATTCTGTCGTTTCGTTGTTGTTCTTCTTCATTTTCCGTCCTTACAACGGAAGTCAACGGAAGAGACGTTTCCGATGATAACGATAACGATTCCGAAGGTGATGATGATGATAACGACGAATCTTCATTCGAACGTCCGACTTCCGCGTTTTCTTCGACTTCCGGTGTTGTCGTAGTCGTCGTCGTCGCGGCCGAATTCGCATTCGACCATCGGTAAAAATTATTTTCAGCGTAATTAACGGATATTTTCATAATTTTCCATATGGTAAATAAAAAATTTTCAAATTCTTTCCTGTTACCGCCGGTCGATGAGGAGGAGGAGGAGGAGGAAATATCCGGAAGTGGTAAATCATCGGAATTACCAATGACGTCATCGACTTTTAAATCTTTTAATTTTTTTTCAAAAACTCCGTTTGCAAAATCCGTTAGAAAATTCCAATTGTCGAAATGTTTTTTTACTCTATGAACGGTATCGGAATATTTGGGTTCTTTGACGAAACGTATCGTGAGACCGGATGACGTCAAAACGAAAATCGGATTCACGTCTTTCCAATCTAAAACTTCGGCATCTTCCTGAGTTGAAAATTTCGATTTGTCCAATAATTTAACGAATGCGACGGATAATTTTTGTATACCGGAAACTTCGTCGTTCCTCAATCCGACTTCTCCCGGTTCGCAACCGGAAATTTGAAATTTAAGGTAATTGTTTGTTATTTCAATGGTTAAATCCGACGCGGATTTCGACGGAAACGTCGAATCCGACGGCGGATTATTAACGTTTAAAAAAATTTTTTCGTAATTTTTACATTCGGCGCCATCTTTAACGGGTAAACCGTTTGTGAAAATATTTTTGTTCCCGTCGTCATTCAAAAGGTATAAAAATCCCTGTAACAAAAAAAAAAAAAAAAAAAAAACTTTGTAATCTTTTAAATGATTCACTCAACATCAACAACCGAAGCAACAACAACCGGAACAACAACAACAACAACAACGAATGTTTTCGTACCATAAAACGGTATTTAAAAAAAAACTCATACAAAACGATCGGAATCAATTATTATTAAACGTAATCGAAAGGTGATGATAATAATAATAATAATTTTTTTTCTTTTAAACAATGAAACAATGACGTCATTAATTTAGAAAAAAAAATTAAAATTAAAACTCTATTAAAATTATGCATACATAATAAGTTATTAAATTTTTATTTCGAACAAAAAAAAAAAAAAAATCAGGTTTTTAGGTTTTCAGGTTTATTATTGTTGTTGTTGTTGTTGTTAGCTTATTCATTTTTATGTAACCTCCGTTTATTTATTTATGTATTGTTTAAAAAATTAATAAATACATAATTTTTTTTTTTTTTTTAATAAAGGTATGAAAAAAATTAATGATTACGCACACACAAAAAAAAGTTTATTATTATCGAAAATAATTATTAATAAATAAATAAACTCACTTATTGACAATTTTTAATTTAAAAATTATTATTATTATTATCATTATTATTAACATGAGAATTACGTAATTTTTAATAACAAAAAATAATAATTATAATTTAATAATAATAATAATAATAATAATAATAATAATAATAATAATAATAATAATAATAATAATAATAATAATACGCGTTTTAAAAAAAATGTATATATAAATAATAATACTTACAAAAATAAAAATTAAAAAAAATTTATTAATTTTTTCCATAATAAAAATTGTTGTTGTTGTTGTTGTTGTTGTCGCGAGACGACGGTTAAAATTGTAATACTTTTAAATAGTGTTTAATAATAATAATAATGATGATGATGATGATAATAATAAAAACGTGTATTCGACTGGTTACCGGGTGAGACCTTGAAGAATCTTTTTAAAAAAATGCGCACAGGTAGGACGGAACCGTTTCGTCCGTCATACCTGAATGCGATTTAATACTTTTATTTATTTATTTATTTATTTATTTTAACGTTTTTTTTTTTTTTTTTTTTTTAGATACTATTGGCACCGGTAAAAATCCGCCCTGATGATGATGATGATGATGCATCGTTAAGAGAGAGACAAAGGGTAAGTTGATTTATAGACAAGTGTGTGCGTGGGGGGGGGAGGAGGAAGAGGAAAAAAGAACGAGAGAAAAGACAACAAAAATTTATTTTGTTAGTGTTATTATCATTATTATTATGGATGCGTGAATGAATGAAACATTTCGGCCAAGTTTTTTTTTTTTTTAAAAGGCGGTGGGGAGGTGGTGGTGGTGGGGGTAAGGTGTAAGAGTGATTTTACATCGGTATTAAATTACATTCATTGATTTTCTCTATCACAAAGATTGGAGCCCGTTTTAGAAATTTCCCTAATGGAATTTTCTAGAAATTGAGTGAATTCTAATATTTTCAATTTTTCCCATTTGAATTTTTCCGAATCGAATTGGAAATTTTTATCGGGATCGTCGCCGCTCTGCGACAAATTTCTCCGATTAATATCTTCGAAATCGCTTAAATCGCTGTCGGACGAATAAAATTGATTACATTGAGCGTTCATTAAATTGTTGAAAAATTTCAATTTCAACAGGAGACTCTCGTTGACCGTTAAATAATCCTTTTTTAAATTTAAAATTTTTTCTATCAGAGCCAAAACGTTGGCGTTGTTATTATCCGCCGTCGGAACGTGATTCACGACGTCGCCGCCGACGGCGCTGTCATCGACGTCGACGTCATCGTCGAAATCCGTCGTCGCCGTTGTTAAATCAAATGTCGGATTTTTATCATTTCCGGTGTTGAAAAAATCAATTCCGTCGTCTGTGGAATCATCATCCACGTCGGCCCGTTCGACAATATTTTTTTCGCAGCGTAATTTCAAATGATTGAATATTATGTGTGATCGAGCTTGAGCTTTACGTATCATTTTATACATGTTCATGCTTTCCTCTTGCAATAACTGTCGTCCGATTTTCGATTCGTCCATATTGTTTTCTTTCAAATAATTTTCCAAATAATTAACGAATCTCGTTCGGAGTAAAAGAGTGCAATATAAAACGGTCAGCCACGTTTCGATGACGTTGAATATTCTCGAATCCGATTCTAATTCTAATTCTATTTCGAATTTATCATCGTCGTGTAGAAAATTATCTCTTATTATTTGTTTCAATGCGGTCACCATTTTCGTAAATAATCGTTCGAATAAATTTCCTCTTTCGAAACGTCTTATCGAATCATTATTATTATTATTATTATTGTCTTCTGTTTGTGCGACGACGACGACGCGGTCTTCGTCGTCCTCCTCCTCCTCCTCCCCCTCCTCCCCTTCCTCATCGGCATCCACGGCATTATTATTTGAATTTTTAAACAACGCGCTTTTTATGGCGCGTAATGCGTTTATCATTCTCAACGTGAAAAAGCGATTCGTAAAAAAAAAAGCGCGTGTGAACCTGAAAAAAAAAAACATTCGGAAAATCAAGATAATAATAATAATAATAATAATTTTACGCATTGGAAAATTCATTCCTTTAGGTAAAAACCTGGAATGAATTTTGGGAAAGGTCGACGACAAGTCCACCATTCGGCCGGTACTTGTCGAATAATAATAATGATAATTTTTTTTTTTCCCTCAAAGTTTCATTTTATGTGTTGTGTTGAATCGAAGTGAATAAATAATGGGAAAAAAATACGACGCCATTTTGTTTGTTTACATATTTTTGTTGTTGTTGTTGTTGTTGTTTGTAAACATTGCGCAGGGGGAGGGAGAGAGAGAGAGAGAGGGAGGGAAAAAAGGAAAACAATTTTATTTGGCGTTTTTAACGGGTTACCAAAAACAAAAAAATTATTTATTTATTTATTTAAAAATAATAATCAGTCTCACCTTTAAATTTTAATTTGATTTGATTTAAACGTACTCGTCAATTTAATAATAATAATAAAAAAAAAAAACAAATCATTTATTTATCGTTTACTATATATATATATTAAAAACGAGAAAAAATTTCCTACTTTTTTTTTTTTTTTTTTTTTTTTCGTAAATAACGAAAAATTTTTGTACAGAATGGAATACGAGTCGAACAAGTGCGATCGATTATGATCGCTTTTCAAAAATATTGATTAATTGATTTTTTTATTGATTTTTCGAACGTAAAAATTTATTATTAATTTTAACAAGGCCGAAATTTATTAAAAAAAAAAAAAAAAAATAACTAATCACAACTAACTCATTGAAATGACGTCACGAACGCGTTCTCAATGTTTTTTTTTTTTTTTCTGGCTTTTAAACACAAAGGAAACAAAAAAAAATGACGTAGATGATGTGAATTTGCGTGTTATCATTATCCCAACATAAGGACTGGAATTCCATTGACTTACGTTGGTTTTGTGTGTATTTTTTTTGGCGCCAAAAATTTCAAAATTTGATTGATTGTCTTTCGCTAATCGGTGTACATGAGCTTATACATATTATTATTATTATATTTCAGGTTCGAAAAATCGCTCGGAAAAGCGTGAAAGACGATGCCTGGAGTAATACGAGGATTTTCCAGCAGGAAAGTGAGATTTTTTTTTTTTCTCATAAACACGTCGGATGAGATTTGATGATGGATTCCGATGCGTTTCATTCAAATTCCAGAATGAATGAATGAATGAATGAATGGCGCTCCAGATTAAGTTATCGGGATTTAAATCGTTGGGAAATCGTTGCGTGCATTCCAGGACAAATGATCGGGATTTTGGAATTTTTCACTCACGCATATCACTGGCAAGTGTAATTTATTATACTTATCATCATCATCATCATCATCGTCATTGATTAATTATTAATAATAATAATAATAATAATAATTAATACAGTAAAAAAAAAATTTTTTTTTTTTTAAATGTCAATAACGAGGATAGAATAATGAATATGTTATTGAAAAATCCCAAGATAATAAATAATTAAATAAATAAATAAATAAATCGATTGATCGATCAGATTAGATGATAATAATATTTAATTGCACGATAATAACGATGATGATGATGATGATGATAATTTTTAATGAGAAGAGATTTACGGGAGGAGGAGGGGAGGGGAGGGGAGGGGAGGAGAGATCTTTTTTCACGTTTTTTGTTTTTTTTAGGTTTTTTTTTATTTTGCGGTTCTGAAAAATGGACGGACGACGTTTAAATAAAAAAAGAAAAAAATACAAGAGAGGGAGAGAGAGAAAAGCGATTGATTGCGAATCGATTATAGCAAAATAATTAAAATCAATGATAATTATTATTATCTATCCATTGATAAAAAATTTATTATAAAAGGAATGGCGATCCGTTAATTATTTCTACTTCGTTTTTTTTTTTTAAAAAAATCGATTTTCGAGTGAGTATCGTCGCAAAAGTATTATTATTATTATTATTATTATGCGTTTCCTATCGATTTTTTATTAAAGAAAAATTTTCTTTTTTTTTTTTTTTTTGATTTTTATTTTACAGTCATGAAGTTTTTGTTCGTCGTCGGTGTTTTCCTTTTGGCTACCGTCGCGGTTGGTGCCACGAATTCATACGAAAACGTAATACAAAAAGAATGGGATCTTTTCAAGGTGAAGTAAATTTTTCGAGTCATTAAAAAAAATAAAAATGAAAAGTCATCGAATAGATGTAATAATAATAATAATTATTATTATTATTATTATTCCAGGCTCAATATGGTAAATCGTATAAGACGCCAGAAGAAGAATATTATAGAATGAGAATATACATGGATAACAAATTGGAAATCGTCGAACACAATTTGAAATTTCTAGAAGGAAAAGTCAGTTACGAAATGGGAGAAAATCAATTTTCCGACATGGTGAGAAAAACGTGACACGACGAACGCGCGACGTCTGGAATTTTTCTCCAGTTCGAAATTTTTTATTTTATAATTGTTTTTTTCTCTGTTAATTTTTAAGACATCCGACGAAGTCAACGATTTGTACAACGGTTACAACAAAATTAATAGAATGAATGCAAAACCTGGAGAAATTCCAGCTTTGCCCGAAATGGATGGAGTGCCGTTCGTTGCAAAAAACGAAGACGTACCCGATTACGTTAATTGGGTCGAAGCGGGTGCCGTCACACCGATCAGGGATCAGGGAGCTTGCGGATCGTGTTATGCTTTTGCCAGCGTAGGTTTTGTCATAAATCGGTGGCGGGTTCTAATTTGTTTTATTTTGAAAAAAAAAAGATTAACTTTTTGTGTTTTGCAGTTGGCTACTCTGGAAAGTAGACTCATGATTTACAACAAGACCGAGTTGCAATTGAGCGTACAAAACGTTCTCGATTGTTCGGGCGAATTTGGTAATTTCGGATGCGACGGAGGACTCGCGAGAAACGTTTACGAATACGTTATGGACAACGAAGGTGTAAACAATGAAACCGACTACCCGTACGAAGTCCGCGAAGGAAAATGCAGGTTCAGTTCGAAAAAATTCACGGCCAAAATCAAAGACTACGTGTCCGTGTCTTATTTCGATGAAGATGCTCTTAAAGCCGCCGTCGCAACCGGACCCGTTTCCGTTTCCATGGATGCCAGTTCTCCAGCATTTAAAAAATACAAAGGAGGAGTTTACACGGATGACAAATGCAGTTCGATGAAATTGAATCACGCCGTCGTCGCTGTCGGATACGGTACTGATCCTGATACAAAACAAGATTATTGGCTCGTGAGAAACAGTTGGGGTACGGCTTGGGGAGAAAGAGGTTATTTTAAAATTGCAAGAAATGCCGATAACATGTGCGGACTTGCCACGCGTCCCGTTTTTCCAACTCTTTAAACGAATTCATTTTTTTTTTTTATTATTAAATAAATTTATTTTTAAATAAATTTGCACCGTCATTTTTTTTTTTTTTTTGTTATAAATACCGTTCGACCGTCACGACGGCATATTTCGATATTTTTTCGATATACGATATTTTTTTCGATTATATCGATTATTAAATTTAATAGGAAATTCGTTTACCCGTCGATTTTTAAGTTATGCTTTTTGCGATGCATGAATGCTCTACAAAAAGCATACATTAAAATACTTAAGGCGTTTGGCAATAATCAATGCATGTGAAACGTATAAAATACGTATTAACGAATAAGATGTAAATTATTAAAGCATAAAAATTTTTTTTTTTTTAAATATTATTATTATTATTATTATTATTATTATTATTATTATTATTATTATTATTATTATTAATAAGAAGGTTAAATTTTATCCGTGAAAGGAAAAAATGTAGGAATTAAAAGATTAAAAGATTATTTTTAATAATGTAATAAAATTATAAACTCTATGACTTTTAGTTTAGTCAAAATGTAAACAAAAATATTTACGAATGACGTAACATTGACTCTGTGGTTTTTTTATTTTTGATTGTGCATGTGCGTGTTAATAATTTTTTATTATGGTTTTATTTAAATAGTTTTTCTCTTCCTTTTAAAAAAAAAAAAACGGAAAAAAGTAAGCATTTATATTAATTATTTTCTAAAATGATTTGAATATTTAATAACGTTTAAATAATAATAATAATTTTTACGTAAAAAAAACTCGACTCGTTTCAAATGACGTAACATCATCGTAAATTCGAAATGAAACGCATTATTATTATTATTAATATCATTGTCAATTTCGGTTTTACACGATTTAAATTTAATAATAATAATAATAATAATAATAATAAATATATATCGTGTATTCATATCGAAAACATATATATTTTTTGAATACTAATCGATAATAATAATAATAATAAATCTCTATTGATATTAAAATTTTAATGTAAGACACCATCGACGCCGCGTTTCATTTTATTTAGACGCAGCCATTTTGAATTTGAATTGAAAAAAAAAACCTTCGCGATTTCATTTCATTTATTTAAAATCGTGGGGGTATTAGGATTAAAAGTTTCGTTAAGAAATTCGGTCGTAAATAATAATAATAATGATAATAATAATGATAATGATAAAGTCGTGGGAAAACTCATGTAATAATAATAATAATAATAATGTTTTTTTTTTTTCTCCAATAAGCAAAACATTTTTCATTGTTATATTTTTTGATTCGGTTACGTGCGACTTCTCACTATTATTATTATTATTACTATTCCTACTCCTACTAATACTAACCGAAAACCAATATTTAAAAACAATAATAATAATAATAATTGTCACGTTCGCGTAACCGTAAAGGTAAAACAATACAATAATAATAATAATAATAATAATAATTGTTAGTTTTTTTTTTTTTTAATATAATAAATTGGAAAAAAAATGAAATCGATTGCAAAATAATTTCCTATTTATTATTATTATTATTATTATTGATTTAAATTTATGGCTTTACGCGAACGTACCTGGAGGATTCAAATCGTTTTCATCATCATCATCATCATCATCATCGTCATCGTGATAGAATTTATTTCCTATCTTTTCGTTTCTCTTCACGGTCTGGAACCACGATTAAAACTCTAACTATTGACTGATTGATTGATTGATTGATTGATTGACTGACCGATTTAAAGTCATTTCGAAAAAAAGAAAAGTTTATGGAAATTTTTTTTGGAAAAACATTTTCATTATTATTATTATTATTATTATTATTATTATTATTATTATTATTATTATTGTTGTTGTTGTTGTGGTTGTTGCTGTTGTTGTTGTTGTTGTTGTTGTTGTTGTTGTTGTTTTTAAATGGTTGAATTTATTTCGAGTCGATAAAACATTCATTCACCGAGTGGTAATAAAAGGGTGAGGGTTTTTTTTTTAAATTCAATTTTTTTAATAACGGTAATGATAATAATAATAATAATAATAATAATAATAATAATGAAAAAGAAAAAGTCGATTTAATTAATAATAATAATAATAATAATAATTGAATTTGATTAATATTATTATTATTATTATTATCATGCGTCGTTGAATTTTGTTTTAATTTACGATCGGGGTGGCAGACTGGAAATTAATTTTTTTTTTTTTTTTTCGTTAATTGAAAATTTAAATAATGATGATAATAATGATAATGATAATGATAATGATAAGTGAGTGAGTGATAGTGAAAGTTTTCCATTCGGTGGAAATTCTTTAATTTTATATGTAAATAATAATAATAAGAACCGTATTAAGGATATTTTTCGCACGGCGGATGACGATGATGATGATGATGATGATGATGATGATGAAAATAATAATGCGACTTTTTTTTTTTTTTTTCAATTCCAGTTCATTCCAGTTCATTCCATTTAATTTTTTTTTCTTTTATTCCATTCTATTTATTTTTCATTTGTTTTTTTTTTTTTTTTACTTTCATTCTGATTAATTTCATTCATGAGTATTTTCATTCCTTTTTCATTTCATTCCATTTTATTCTGGTACTTATTATTCCATTAAGTTTCTTTCTATTCTTTTTCATTCCATTTGATTTAACTTTCATTCTATTTCATTCCCTTTCATTCTATTTCATTTAATTCCCCTTCATTTTATTCTATTCCATTCCTTTTCATTCCATCTCATTTCATTATTTTTTAATCTAGTTAATTCTTTTCCATTCCAATTAATTTCATTCTATCTTATTCTATTCCTTTTCATTCCATTTCTTTTTATTCTATTTCTTTTCATTCCCATAATCATTCTGTATCATTCAATTCAATTCCTTTTCTTTTCATTTTATTTAATTTTGATTCCTTTTCCATTCCACTCATTTCATTCCTTTTTCAATGCAATAAATTCCTTTCCAGTCTTCTTTATTCTACTCTATTCCATTATTTTTCAATTCATTCTACTCCTTTTCATTCTATTTCTTTTCATTCCATTACATTTCCTTCCATTCATTTTTATTTCATTTCATTCTTTTTCACTCCATTTCATTCCTTTCCATTTCATTTCATTACATTCTTTTGTTTATCCTATTCTATTCTATTTATTTTCATTTTCCTCTTTTTCATTCTATTTCTTTTCATCCCATTCCTTTTCACCTTATCTCAATTTATTTCTTACATTTCTTTCCATTTTATTCTTTTTCAATCTACTTTATTCCTTTCCATTCCTTTCCGATCTACTTTTTTCATTCTACTTCATCCCATCCTTTGTCATTTTATTCTTTTTATATCCAATTAATTCCTTTTCATTCCTTTCCATTCTATTTCATTACACTCCTTTTTTTATCCTATTTCATTCTATTTATTTTCATTTCTTTCTTCTTAATTCAATCTCATTTCATTTTATTTCATTTCATTCTATTCTTTTTCATTCCATTACATTTCTTTTCATTCTTTTTCATTCCACACATTTCATTCTTATTCAATCTGAATAATTCCTTTCCATTCTTTTTCATTTCATTCTGATTATTTTCATTCTATTTTTTCTTTTTATTACATTCCATTCAATTTTTTTTATTCTATTCCTTTTCATTTTCATTCATTCTATATCATTTAATTCCTTTTCATTTAATTTCATTATATTCTATTTTTTATCTTATTTCATTCTATTTATTTTCATTTCATTCCTTTTCATCTTATCCCAATTTTTTATTTCTCATCATTTTTCCCATTTTATTCTTTTTATATTCAGTTAATTCCTTTTCATTCCTTTCCATTCTATTTTATTCAAACCCTTTTTCATCCTATTCCATTTTATTTATTTTCATTTTTCTTTTTTTCATTCAATCCCATTTATTTCTATTTCTTTTCATCCCATTCCTTTTCATCTTATTCCAATTTAGATCTTATCATTCTCGCCCATTTTATTCATTTTCAATCTAATTAATTCCTTTCCATTCTTCTTCATTCTACTCCATCCAATTCTTTTTCATTTCATTCCTTTCATATTCAATTAATTCCTTTTCATTCCCCTTCATTTTATTCTAATCCATTCCTTTTCATTCCATATCATATGATTTCATTCTTATTCAATCTAATTAATTCCTTTCCATTCTTCTTCATTCTATTCCATCCCATTCTTTTTCATTTTATCCTGATTAATTTCATTCTATTTCCCTTTTTATTACATTTCATTCCATTCAATTCTATTTCATTCTTTTCCATCCCATTTCATTTCATTCTTCTTTTCATCTTATTCCAATTTTTTATTTCTCATCATTTTTTTTTTTGTTTCCAACTCATTTAATTTTTTATTTATTTTCCAATTCCATTTTACACTCTTTCTTCTTCTTCTTTCTCTTTCAACTTCCTTTTTAAGAAAACTCATAAAAAATATAAAAAAAATAATCAAAATGTTTTTTATTTTTTTATGGTTACCCACTCGACGACGACAACAACAACGACGACAAGTTTTATTTATTTAAATAAATTACATAATTAATAACGTGTTAATTCATTTCACGATGAAAATATTATTAATAATAATAATAAAATTTCTTATTAATTTCTTTATGTAATAATAATAATAATAATAATAAACGACACATTTTTATTATTATTATCATTACAACAAAATATAACGTAAAATCGTTTGTCAAACCATTTACGAACGGTTTAAGAACGAACGAACGTTTACGTTCGATTTTTTTTAATTAAATAACAAATTTTTTTTTTTTTTAACTAGTGGAAATTGTTGATGAAGAAATGGAGAAAAGGAAAAAAAGGAAAAAAGGAAAAGTGGAAGGAGCGAAAATAACAACTCGCGACTTGATTACGTAAGTAAAAAAAAAAAAACCTTAAAGCTATTAAAGTAACGGTTTTTTTTTTTTTTGCGTAAATTTTTTTTTATTTAAAAAAGAAAAAAAAAAAGGAGGAAATCGTGCGAATAAAGTAGTAGTAAAAACAAACA